CAGATAGTCGACCGATTGCTGATTGAACCGTATGATATCCCATACCATCCTCCAATGACCTGGGTTCAGCAGATTGCTCGCTTGGCAGAACAAGGCTGCTGGGCTACCACCTGCCCATTCAAACCCACCATATGCACCTTTGAGAAAACGAGTGACAGAAAAGCTCATGTCACTGTTCAAAATTTCGACGCCGGTAAGTTTGAGAAAGCGCAAGAAATTGGGGTAGGTGACACGATTAAAGACGATGAAGCCGGTATCGACCGAGGTCTTGGGTGCAGAGGCGGGAGAGGCCGAGGTGGGTGGAGTGAAGGTGACGGTGTTGGCATGGCCACCGATCCAAGGGAGAGGTTCGAAGAGGTGGACTTCGTGGGAAGAGTACTCGTTGAGAGCCCAGATGGAGGATAGGCCCGAGACGCCGCCTCCTACAACTGCGATTTTCATTTTTGCCAAACCTTCTCGATGGAAGGAGGAGTCTAGGGGATGGTGGTGGAGAGGTAGAAACAGTCGATGAGCGGCGAGAAGGAAACAAGGACAAAGTAGGACAAGGAGAAACAGGAGCGCAAGGGGGGGACCGTGCGTGGGGATCGACGCTTGCTTCCAACGTGCATAGACAGTGCAGCCAGCAAGTCGGGTCGGGATTTGAGATTCTCAACTTTCATTCATTTTCTCTTCTGCTGCTTTAGCCACGCACAGGGTCCAAACGTGAAAAAGCAACTCCGCGCAGCAGCGCGCGCGCTTACCCAATTTTCTCACACTTCTCACAGCCGCACTTCGGCGGGATCGACTTCTCTTCCACCTTTTTGATGTGGAGATCAACTTTGATTGAGCAGGGGAGGAAAAAGGATGCTATGCGTAAACTATACTGTACAAAAAACAATCTGTCGAACATTGCAAGCTTGCAACTTACTCGTTGTGTAGGCTACCCATCTTGATGACCAGCAATCGCAGGATGTTCCTCACCTCTCCATAACTCTGGAACATCGGGACTCGGCTCCTCGTCGTCTACATTGGCGAACAGGATCCCTCTGTATCTTCGACTCCACGCTTTGGCCTGTTGAGCACTGAGCAGACGCTCGTACCTGTACTTGCGCTCTTCTTCCGCATCTCTGCTTGCTGCTGCGTCGTGTTCCTCCCTCTTCTGCTGCTGCTTTGACGGAGAAGAAGAAGAAGAGGGTGATGACCAGATCGAAGACCATCCGAACAAAGCACCTAGCAAGCGGAAGGGCATGGGCACGGGCATGACCATAGTGTTCATGAACGCAGACAGGGCCTCCATGGTGGTAGGCTCCATGAGGGATTGAGTGCCGCGCGTCGAGGCAGAATGGCGCTGGAGAAGGGCTGCTTCAGTGAGACGGAAGGCAGAGCTGTCGCCCGTGTCCTCGCCTTCCACCGGCTTGGCGTTGGAGAAGAGCGGGGATGTGGAAGGATCAAGTGCGGGAATAGTTTGTTCTTCAACTTCGGTATCCGAGGAAGGTTGGTGGCGCTCGTGCTCGCTCCTTCCATCGAGCATCATTGCGTTTACTGCAGCTGCATCGCACAGTGGCATGCTTGCCAATGGTACGTCTGCTGCTTCAAACGAGAATCCGGGCTTCGCTTGTTGCTGCTGCTGGTAGTGGTGCTGCGGCGCTCCCGAGCGATGCCTCTCTGCATCTTCCTGTAGAAATGCATCCAGAACCTCGGGCTCGAGGTCAAAGACCTTGCGCAGGATAGTGCCGATCACGCGCGACGTCTTGGACGGGTGCTCTTGGACCATCCTCGAAGCCTGAGTGGACGATCGTGGCGTCTCTGCACCGTCCGCATGTCGACGAGAATGGTGAAGATTCTCACCACGAGCGAGAAGACGAGACTCGTAATCGATGCTGAGCAGGCTCTGAGAGGTGTTGCTGCGCTTGCTGGAGCGGCCAGCTGCCGAGCGTCGGTGCCTTCGCTTCGGTCGGCGGAGAAGATCGCTAAGGTCGAGGTGGGACAGACCAGCACTCTGAGCGAGGTTGCTTACTGCGAGATCCGCATCGTACACTGCCTCAGCGTGACGCGCCGTAGCGCGCGAGTTGTCCAAGTTTTGACCGTCACTGTCCTCGTGCTCTGAGCCGCTGGTAAAAACGACAGGCGCATCATTGGCCGTACGACGAGATGGTCGCATTTGGCGACTGGAACGAGCACTCGAGTAGAGTTGTGTGGAAGCAGAAGGACTCTCAAGCACACGCTCGAGGGCATTGCTTCTTCCGAGCAGGGACCATGCTTTGCTACCGAGGAGATGACTCTGGGACTGAGATGGAGAATCCTCATCGTCGCTGCCGATGCTAACGTGGCTGAGCTTGGATGGCCTTCTGCGGGAGGTAGTGCGTGCTGCGCCTCGACGAACCGAGCTACGGCTTGGAAGTGAAGAACCTACAGCGTCACTTTCGAAGTCGAAATCGGAGCCAGAACCAAAGCCGAGCTCTTCATCGGCATCGAGCTGAGAATCAGTACCGCTAAAGACAGACTCGGGAAAGACATCCTCGGAATGACGAGCATCGGAGAGATGATCGTCATCGGCGCTGTACTGCAATGCTGCATCGATGGAGGCGGCATCCGTAGAAGCCGGGCTGAGCGGGGAAGCGAGGAATCGACCTGTGCCGTCGTGAAGAGGTGGCAAGGTGAGCGCGAGTGGGTCTGTGCCATCTGTGTGGTCATCTGTGTGGTCGGGCGAAGCAACCTCGATTGTAGGTGAGACGGAGGGTGGCGCCTCACGCGATCGACCGGGGAAGACGATGCTCCAGTCTTGATGAGCTTCTCGTTCTTGACGGTGCTGAGTGGCGAAGGAGGCAGAAGGCGAGTCCAAGACATGATCCTGACGGTCTCGACGCTGCTGCCGCGGCTGATGGTGGACAAAGGCCATAGTGATGAGATTTGCTCGGAGAGGGAGTGATCCGAGCTAGAGTTGGTGTCGGTGGCGTTGTGGGGAGTTGTTGCTTTCAGCTCGTCACGAGGGCAAGATGGAGCCTGTAGCGTAGGATGCTTCCGAGATGCGGCTCTTCCGATGAGATGGGATGGATTGAGGGTCTTCGAGATAGTGTGACGGTTGTGATGGATCGAGCTGAACCCAAGATGAGGCGGGTGATGCACCGATGGGAACCAGGGGCTAATCCGCTAAGAGTGTAATGCGATGCGATGCAACCCAAATGCAGAAGCAAGAACAGAAGTTGACGATGCGGAATCGAGCCGATCAGCTAAAGGGTATGAAAACAAGGTGGTTGCTGAATCGTGTCTCGAAAAGGGCGAAGGATGATGATCGCTCTTCAATGTCCACTCGAGCGATATCGAGAGGGAGCGTGCGTGTGTGTGGAGATGACTCTAGGATCGGATCAAGAGCAAAGAGAAGGCAAAACTGTGTTTTTGCGTATGGTGGCGAGACGTGGAGCAGAGAGAGGTGAGATAAAGACGTTCTTTTTACAGGTATCGATCCTGGTGGGTTGAGTGACTAGGGTGTGTGAGTGATAAACTTGATGATTGTGCAGTGGAGGCGGCGGGCGGCAGAGTGGAAATGCACGAGCGACGCAGGTGCAGCTGTTGATGCATTGACACTGCTCGTATGCCTTGTCCCCCAAAAAAGTAAAGAGTATACAATAAGGGTCTGACTCAGTCAAATGAGTGGCATTGCAGGCTAATAATGGCGTAGTTACTGTACAGTACAGCACTGCACAGTGAGGACGTCTCTATGCTGGCTGGCTGGCACTTTTTTTCCTAATCAAGCTCGAGCGACGCTGATCCCATCACATCACCCTCACAATTCTCATTGGAGATGGCGAGCTTGTCCCACACACACACACACACACACACACACACACACTCTCTCTCTCTCTCTCTCTCTCTCTCTCTCTCTCTCTCTCTCTCTCTCTCTCTCTCTCTCTCTCTCTCTCTCTCCCACTCTTCTCCTTCTCTTTTGTCTTCCACCTAGTCCCATTCCAACCTAGAACATGGGGTTGCTCACCTTATTCTCAAGGCTTCGCACCAGTCGAGCTAAATCGCGTTTTGCTGCAGAGATAGGCTTTGCATCAGAGAGTGGGGTGGAAAACCAGCCAAAGGCTCAGGCTCGGTCAACTGGTTTTGAGAGTTGGGTTCAGCTGATGCGGCAGTTGGTTCAAAAGCACTTTGATCAAGTTGCCCGGTCTCTTTCTCTCTGATCTGGAGCTTCAAAGCTCGTGATGCCGTCGGACAGCTTCCGAGTTCACCACCCTCACATGACATCGCACCACACCGCACAACTCAACTTAACTCACTTCATATAGTTCATTCCCACAACCCTGGCTTTCGCCACACTTTGTATTAGCAATGCGGGAATGGGAATGCACATCTCATCTGACCAACGTTCACAGATGAGGATGTTGTTGGGTGCGGCTCACGCTCGGTCACTTTTCCTACAGGTTCAAAGGGAAAGGGGCAGGAAAAGACGAGATAGCGATTCTGAGTGCAAAAGTGCCCTTATCTTGGAGTGAATCCTCCACCTAGCGCGTCAGTTGGAGCAGCCGCTTTGCCTCGTTTGCATCTCAGCCGAAACAAAAGAGATTAAGAGAGAGGCGAGGCGCGCATCAGTCCATCAATCCCACGCTTAAAGCTAGATTGTCATTGCCCTGTACTGTACCACTGTCGGACCCCGCAACAAAAGACAGGGTCCAATTTTTTGGCACCAAAAAAAAAAGGAAAGGAAAAAAGGAAAAAGAAAAAACGAAAAGATCCCCGAACCCTGGTCGCCATGCTCTGTTGGTGGGGCAATGCATTCCTGGCTGAAGGCATTTCCCATGACAGATTCGGCGATTAAGGCCTTGCAGATGGTCTTAAGATGGGAGCTCTTAAAAGTAAGATTTGGTCTGGGTTGGGGCGGTAACCCCCACATTCGGTTACAGTAGATCTGTGTTTCTTTGTGGCTCACGCACGCGACCTTTTCCACACCTATAGCAAAGAGAAAAAGATAGGGCAAGAAAATCGCGGCAAATATTACCAAAAAAAATGCCAAAAAGAAATGCTCCGTACTGGGCTCGAACCAGTGACCTTCCGTTGTAATCAACTCAGAATGATTCTGAGGCACCGTGTTATTAGACGGATGCGATAATCCAACTACGCTAACGAAGCTGCTGTGTCAGCAGGAGAAAACATTGCGTTTCTATACCCTGCGTTTTTGGTTGTCTTCACCCACTTGTCTCGACGCCACTTCCATCTCATTGATCAACAGCTGTCATCAAACGCCGACATTATTTGACAACCACGAGCGCAAGGATTCTTCTCGTCCACCAGCGTACTCAACTTCGGCAGACAAGGGAGCAAGATGAAAGGTCATTCGCACGGAAAGCAGTAGTAAGCTCTTAGCTAAAAGCAGAAGAAAGCAAGGGCGAGTTGGGAAAGAGCAGAAAGATACGTCCGACGAATCCATCTCCGTCATCGGCCGTTCTCCCTTTTTGAATTTCTCGCGGTTGGATAGCCGATTCCCCGCAACACACGAATACGAACAACCACACATCTTTTTCTGTCCGACCCTATGACAGTTATTCGGTGGAATTTCTTCATTGAGTCGCCGTCCAGCCCGAGCTTCTGGACGAAAGCTGAGAAGCAGGGGAAGAAGAAGAAGGAGAGGGGGGGCCAAAGCGGGAGAAAGTGTCGTGCATGAGGTTCATCACTCCGTGCTTCTCCGCTTTGGTGATGTGGCAAGAGATCTGGCTTTGGAAAGAGAGGTTTTGGTTCTGCCGTGCATTGAAAGAAGAAGACCTCTTGTTCTACTTCTATGAGACTTTGTGTAAAATGATCTCGGTCGACGGTCACTAAGCATGCAACAAAGAACAGAAATTGCCCACTGAAAAGACCAAAGACTGTGCTGCAAAGAGAGATGTTGTGCGAGACAGGCCATTGACATGAGGCAGCAAGGATGGCAACTGGGATCGAGAGAGAAAAACTAGTAGTGACGCAGAGCATGGCTCGCTCGCCTGAGGATCAAATCTTCAAGTGATGAACAAGAGGCAGAGACAGCGGCGTATTTCCGCCGATGCGCTTCCGCAGAGCAGAGCAGAGCGATGCATTGCGAAACGGTCGAATTTCAATTGGTTCGTCCCGCGCCTCTCTGTTTGACACTTTTTGTCGCTCGGCCTTTCAGCTTTACCCCACGCCGTCGTCACTTTTTTGGATTGCCCGACCCCCGCAAACTCCTTCTGCAGTCTTTCTCTTTCTCTGCTCTGCTCTCTCCGTCATTGCCACATCCAGAACAATATATACACGCACATCCTTGCATTTCCATCCATCTTCACTCTTCTTCTCTCTCTCCCCACACACGCACACACACACAGAGAACACGTCGCCGTCGCACCACCAACCATGTTGAAGTTCGACGAAGTTCAGAAGCATAACTCGAAGGATTCTTGCTGGGTCATTGTCCACGGCAATGCCTACGACGTTACCGAGTTTTTGCCCGAACATCCTGGTGGAGCAGGCATCATTCTCAAGTATGCTGGTAAAGATGCCACCGAGGAATACGATCCCATCCACCCACCTGGCACACTCGAGGAAAACCTTCCCAAGGAGAAATGTCTCGGTCCCGTCGACCCTTCTACAATCAAAAAGGAAGACAAGAAGGAGACCAGAGCCGTCGCCAAGCAAGACGATGGTGGAATTCCTCCTCTCTCCCAATGTTTGAACTTGTACGATTTCGAGGTGATCGCCAAGCGTGTTCTCAAGCCCACTGCATGGGCCTACTACTCTTCGGGTGCAGATGACGAAGTTACCATGCGAGAAAACACCTCTGCCTTCGGTCGCATCTGGTTCCGCCCGCGCATCCTTCGCGATGTATCCAAGGTCGACTATTCCACCTCGTTGCTTGGCAACAAATCGACTCTGCCCGTATACATCACCGCTACAGCTCTCGGGAAACTCGGTCACCCGGATGGTGAGAAGAACCTCACTGTCGCAGCTGGAAAGGAAGGAATCATTCAGATGATCCCCACCTTGGCCTCTTGTAGCTTTGACGAGATCGTAGCTGCCAAAGTCAAGGATGACCAGGTTCAATTTATGCAGCTTTACGTCAACTCGAATCGAAAGATTACCGAAAAGATCATTCAGAAGGCTGAGGATGCCGGTATCAAGGGTCTCTTTGTCACCGTTGATGCACCTCAGTTGGGTCGTAGGGAGAAGGACATGAGGATGAAGTTTGACGATGTAGGATCCGACATGCAGAATCAGAACAAGGACAATGTCGATCGATCGCAAGGTGCTGCACGTGCCATTTCGTCTTTTATCGACCCTTCTCTCTCCTGGGATGACCTCACCTGGCTCCGAAGCGTTACCAAGATGCCTATCGTCCTCAAAGGTGTTCAGACTTGGGAAGACGCTGTTCGAGCTGCCGAGCTTGGTCTTTCTGGTGTAGTCCTCTCCAACCACGGTGGACGACAGCTCGATTTCGCTCGTTCAGGAATTGAAGTCCTAGGCGAAGTCGTAGAGGCTCTCAAGGCGAGAAACCTCTTCCCTAACCCCATGTTCCAGATCTTTGTGGATGGAGGTATTCGTCGTGCCAGCGACGTTCTCAAAGCCGTTGCAATGGGTGCTACGGCGGTGGGCATTGGAAGACCTTTCCTCTACGCTTACTCGGCATATGGAAGCGACGGTGTGGTACACGCTATTCAGCTGCTCAAGGCAGAGATGGAGATGAACATGCGTTTACTCGGTGCTCCAACACTTAAAGACGTTGTTCCCGAGATGGTAGATGCCAGAGCCCTGGGCACCCACGTCAACTTTACTCCCATCAGCCACGGTCATCAGATCTACGAGAAACTCTCCACCGCAGTCGGAATGCCTAATGAGCCTGCTAACAAGCTCTGATGGGTCCCCCGGTTACTTTTACATCCTCCTGTCTCTTTTTCTGTTGCTTGTACGTTAAAGTTTGCGGTTTTCTCGAGAATTTAGATCACACACTTCCCAAAACAAAGAAAAGCCTCGCTCAAAAGCACAAGCACAAGCACAAGCGTAATGCGAGACAGTGAAATGTGATAAATCTACGGATCGCTGTTGAAAACAAATCACAACTTCTATGAGGACTCAAGAATGCCAGCCTCTACAGCGACGATTCTCACCGTCCTGTCAAATCCACAACTGGCCACCTTGTTCTCACCCAACACCACCACGTCTTTGACAATTGTATTTCCACCTCTACTCCAACTTGCCGCGGCCGCTTGTGCTTGAGCCTCATCACCATCTCCCGACACACCATGGGCTAACACCTGCGCTCGGGTCCGACCTTTCAAATCAACCAGTCGTAGCACTCCATCTTCGGCGTTAAGCCAGCAACCTCTGCCGCAAGGTAGCCATGCATGTCGAGGTACGGCGTAGGAGCTGGTGGGGACACCGGTCCAAATGGTCGCTGCTCGTGTTGAGGATAAGGGCGGGAGGAGGAGGAGGCGGGATAGCGAGCCCGGTGCGGTGGATGAAGAGGTAGAAGCGAGGGCGGGAGAGGTGTGGTCGCCTGTCTGAACGCAAATGTAGAGTGAGGATGGGTGGAGGGAGAGCGAGAGGAGGGAATAGGAGACGTGTAGATCGAGAGGGTTGGGATTTGTGTTGAAGCTGTGGAGGCTCCAATCTGGCACAGCTGCGGAGTTGGTGGTGGGAAAAGGTTTGCGTGTACTGTTGAGAGAGGTGCTGGACAGGTCAGCGGTGATATTTTCGACCGAAGAGTCGGCAGAGGTGGGAAGGGCGATGTAGTGGATGAAGCAGTCGTTGCGGACGGTAAAGCATAACCAGGTGCGCTTTTCGCGCGCTTCGTGGATCATGACCTCGCCCGCTCCTGCACCAACACCAATGTTGCTGCTTCCCACATCTGATGCTTCGGCCGGTGCTTCTGGAGACAAGCCAGCACGGACGAACAGAATCGCTTCCGGATTGGTCTGCGTCTCCATCTCGAATGCCTTTTCGTATCTCGGGCCTTTCAACTCTTCCACTTCTTCCTCTTCCTCCTCCTCCTCTTCATTCCCACCCCCACTATTACCAGCAGTAGCGCTGAAGCTGGTATTCTGGATTCTTCGGTAGATCACCACCTTCTTGTCATATCCGATACTGGCTAAATACTCGCCCGTCGGACTGACCGCCACCTTGACCACAAACTTGCCATGCTCACCCAACACCTGTACCACCTTCCTCGTGACCAAATCCCACACCACAACCCTGGCGTCCATCCCTGAGCTGATCAAGCACCTCGGATCCTGTGGATCCTGTGCGACACTCAACACTGCCGCTTGATGACCATCTCTGCTTTCCAGAATTTCTTGCACCTCTCCCGTCTGTGCGTTTGAGAAGACGATGCGTTTGTCCGCTGCAGTAGTGACCAAGCATTTTTGTATGGTGTTGATGTACCTTGCTGAGCTGGTGTCGAAGTGGCGTCTAGGGAGTTCGAGCTTTGCGATCGAGAGAATGTTGGAGGCATGTAGAGTGGAGTGAGTTTGCTCAAGTTTGAAAGGGAGAGTGGCTGGGCCGGGGAGGGTGAGGGTGAGTGGGTCGGCAATGGCACGAGTTGCATGGGTTGCGGCCAGTTGTTCGGCTCTTCTTTTGCGTTCGTCGGCGCGGATGGAGGAGCGATACGATTCCACAAGATGCCTCAGATCGAGCGATTGATCCGTGTGAGAGGGGAGTGTGGGGAGAGTGAGACCAGAAGTGGCAGCATCAGCGCGCAGTTGGGATGCGGATGAAGTGTAGCCTTGAGAGAGAAGGAACTGCTCCACGATGAGATGGGAGGCTACGGTCAGGTCGTACAGGTCCGAGGACGACATCCTTGCGGCAGCAATAAATCCCTGAGAGAGAGCGGGGCTGAGTGAGCTGTGGAAGTGATGATGGTGTAAAGAAGAGAGAAGAAGGGAGCGAAAGGGAAAGAGGTAAGCGAAGTCAAGCAAAGGTATGGCGACACCAGGGTCCAAGCGCAGCTGAAAATTGGGATTGCCGAATGTCGCATGGACGTCTGTCACTTTTTTTTGCCCTCCCCTTCTTCCACGTGCCCTGCAACCTTCATCAAGGTGTCGCTTTTGGCCTTGAGCTGCTCCGCTCATGTCTTTCAAAGCTTTCGTTGGAGCACCGTGCATCCTTTGCATGACGGGAAGAGAGTGTCTATT